GGAAAAGAGGGAGGGAGGGAAGGGAGGAAGGAAAAGGGAGGCAGGGAAGAAGGATGGAGGAAGGAAGGAAGGGAGGGAGGAAGGAAGGAAAAGAGGGAGGGAGGGAGGGGAAAGGGGGAGAGAGGAGGGATGGAAAAGGGAGGGAGGAGAAAAAAGGAGGGAGGGAGGCAGGGGGGAAGGGAGGGAGGGAAGAAGGAAGGAAGGGGGGAAATGGAGGGAGGAAGGAAAGGAAGGAGGAGGGGGGAGAAGAAAGAGGGGGAGAGAGGGAGGGGAAAAATGAGGGAGGGAGGAAGAGGGAGGGAGGAAGAGGGAGGGAGAAAAAAGGAGGGAGAAAGGGAGGGAAGGAAGGAAGAAAAGGGGAGGAAGGGAAGGAGGGAGAGGAAAAAAGAGGGAAGGAGGAAGAGAAGGAGGGAGGACGGAGAGAGAGAGTGAGTTTTAAAATCACCATTTCTTTTCTCTAAAGCGCACCTCTGCAGTTTTCCTTCTGGCTTTTTCAAGAAAGGCAATGGCAATGGCCATTGAATTTGGGGGTGCTTCCAAGTTGGGGTGTGGGCAGAGATCCAGTTGCCTGCCCCAAGAAGGCCGCCGAGGTCTCTGCAGTCACCTCGAAATGGCCCGGCCACTTTGCTTTCCCCGAGAAGGGAAATCATTTCACCCTCCAGTTTTCGAGTTAGTGTTTCAACGCATCCCCGGTTTGCGGTCTAGAGTCCCGGCAGTCCTTGACTTATGCCCCCAAATTTTTGCCGCCGAGCAAAGCAGCCGTTAAGCGAGTTCTAGGGCCCCCCCCGCGACCTTTCTTGCCACCCACCGTCGTTAAACGAATCGCACTGCAGTCGTTTTAAGTTCATGACACTGTAGCCCAGGAAATAAATACATGCCAGGTGCCGATTTGGATCACAAGATCCTGCAACCGTGGTGGGAAAACACGTCCCCCGTTTTTTTATCCCTCAGCACCGTCGTCGTAACTTGGATCGGTCATTAAACAGATACTTGAAGACTAGCTTTAAATCAACGGGGTGATTTTTTTTTCCAAGTTCTTTTTCCTGGCACCCTCCGGATCTCCAAGCAATTTAGCGGAGAAATACGTGGGGTGGGGGATGCGTGTTTACGCGGTCGGGGAAAATCCCAGGCCCGGGTGCGAATCTAACCAGTTCACCGACCGGTTTCCCTCACATACACACACACACACAGAGCTACTCACTTGGCCCAAAAGCGTGGACACAAAGGAAAATGTTGATAATGATGTTGTTAAAGATGGACAACCAGGCAAATTTAGCCTGCAGAGGGAGGAGGAAAAAAATAAAAACGTTTTAGCAAACGAGAGAGGAAAAGAAGGGAAGGGGGGAAGAAGGAAGGAAGGAAGGAAGGAAAAGAGGGAGGAAGGAAGGGGGACGGTCGCAGGAACTGGGTATATCTAGTCTGATGAAAAGAAGGACTAGGGGAGACATGTTAGCAGCGTTCCTAATATCTCAGGGGCTGCCCCAAAGAAGAGGGAGTCAAGCTATTCTCCAAAGCACCTGAGAAGGCAGGACAAGAAGCAACAAATGAGTTGAAACTAATCAAGGAGAGAAGCAACTTAGAACTAAGGAGGAATTTCCTGACAGTGAGAACAATTAATCAGTGGAACAACCCGCCACCAGAGGTTGTAAATGCTCCAACACTGGGAGTTTTTAAGAAGGGATTGGATAAGCATTTGCCTGAAATGGTTTCCTGCCTAGGCAGGGGGTGGACTAGAAGACCTCCAAGGTCCCTTCCAACACTTGTTATTCTAAATTCCAAAATCCCATCCTTTTTGAGCAACGCCTCCCCTGTTACGTACCTGTAGATCTCGGGTCACGGTGAACACGAGGCAGAAGACAGTGGCCATCCCAAACCCGACAAGAAGCTGCATTTTCCGTCCTTTCCTATCCACGATGTACATCTTCAAAATGGGGAGTGGGGAAAATGGAACAAATCAGCCCCCACTGGGTTTCTCTCCTAGGTCAGAACCAACTCCAGTTTTCCACCTCCGTTCAGCTCCCCCCACCCCCCCACCCACCCCCCGTAAAAAAATGGCCAAAGCTGCCACGATTTGATTTCAGGTTCAGGAAGGAGAAGCTCAGAAAGGAAGGTAGGAAACAAACCAGGATTCAGCTTCATGATGGCTATTTTGCTTGGCTGAAAAACTACACCTGGCTTCTTCGACAAAACAGGGTTAAAAAATGAACACAGAGATGGAGGAGGAGGAGGAGGAGGAGGAGGAGGAGGAGGAGGAGGAAGGGGGGAGGAGGGGGGAGGAAGAAGAAAAGAAGAGAAGAAGAAAGGGAGGAGGAGGAAGAAGAAGAAAAGAAGAAGAGGAGGAAGAGGAAGAAGAAAAGAAGAAGAGGAGGAGGAGGAAGAAGAAGAGGAAAAGGAAAAAAGTGGAAGAAAAAGAGGAGGAGGAGAAAGAGGAAGAGGAAGAAGAAGAAGGAGAAGAAGAAGAAGAAGAAGAAGAAAAAGAAGAAGAAGAAGAAGAAGAAGAAGAAGAAGAAGAAGAAGAAGAA